TCCGTGCGGCGCAGATTAGGGTATTGGGGGCGTTCGCATCTTCTGAATCCTGAGCACCCAGATCGGGGCGCCTGGCCACGCATAGACAGCGACGGAATGCTGGTCACCCCAGAGCGGCAACATCACTTACAGGAGCCTGAGCCAGCGCCACTTCCGAGAGATGCCGAGTACCACCTCGACATCAAGGACGCGACCTTTAACGTTCAGAGAGCGGCGATGGACATCGAAGCCAGACCTGGAGCGCCACACCCTCGACCCCAGCCACTTCGAGCACAGCTGCAAAGCATGAGCGCCCGCATCGTCGGATGCCAGGAGTCCCCCAGCGATGGACTGCCTTGCAATGTTTGGGGCACGTTCGCGACATGCCCTGGGCTGCAGCTTACTCACCAACATCGCCAAACCCTACGGCACTGGGCCCAAGGGTACCAAGACATTCACCAAAGGCGACGTGCGGCTGCTTCGACATGACCAGCGTCTTCTAGTTGCGCGGGTACGAATATTTGGGCAGAAGGAGTTTATATATGCTGCTCGGGCTCCTAGTGTTAGTCATGCAACCCTCAACTATAAGGAATGGTTGGCGAAGTTCGAACAAAACTATCGGCGATGGCAGCCTTCTCTATATTTTCGAAGCCAGCACCTGTCATAGTACATCTTGGCATCTGCAGAACTTCACAGCATGGTGGTCGGCAGCCTGGTAGACAACAGGCTGGATACACACACGGAGTCGGAATCGGAAGACCACCTGCCTGTTATGGAGGTGATTGTTGGTGTACTCACGCACCCGCAATTTATCGCGAGGAAGCTCTCAGTCAAGGCGGATTCGGCAAAACTCCCCTCTCAACCACCGAACCTACTCATTCCCACTCTTGTGGCGGCGGAACGGGTGGGAGGAACGTCTGGGGACGGGGCGGGAGGCATCGAGCCGCCGGCTGCCATGGCAAGGTCCACGACGGCCGCAGGCAGACAGCGCAGACACCACGTCCGGAATACCGTGTGCTCGGCTTGCCCCAAGTCTACCTGCCTCCACCCTCCTGCCGCTGACCTCAGAGCCAGCAGCTTGCTGCATCGCATCTGCGCGGGTCGAGCTGTGCAACTCTACAGCGAACCTTTGACGTTTGTCATGCCTCTTTGCCCTGCCTGTTCAACCCAGCATGTCTCAACCGTCCCGCTGCTGACCTCAGAACAAGTAACGTGCAGTCGCATTTGCACGCGCCTGTCTAATAGTTGTTCAATCATGCAGCGAGCTGCTTGCCTTCAGCCAACCTCCCTCAGCCATAGCACGCAGCCTCCGACAACAGCCTACCAGTGGTGTGTGGGGGGAATAGGGGCGGAAGGACTACGTGCCACAGGTGAGGCCACCGCCTTGGTGGCTCAAACCTCCCCATGCCTGGTGGACCCCCCCCGACCCACCAGTCTTTCCCTGGGAACCCCTCGGCCGTTCCCTAAGAGCAGGGGAGGGGCCCTTGAGCCACCCGCCTTGGCGAGCGTGGCCCCACCGATTGCGGCCACCGCCGCTGGATTGTGCAACCCCCCCGGCGCCAGGTGGAAACTGGCTCCTGACCCCGCAGTCCCCCCCTGAGGTACCCTGCGGCCACCTCGGTGGGCGAGGGCCCCCTTCGGCGGAACTGCGGGGCGGGGTGGCGGGGTTTCCCACGGGCTGGAAAGAGAGGCCCCTGCGGCCCCCCACTTGCGAGGGCCGAGGCTGCCGCAAGCAACCAGCGCTCACGCACTCGTCCTCAGAACCTTCTGACCGCACTGCTTCCGCACTGCCCGCCACCGCATCGCCAACTCTTCCCGCTCTCTGTTCCTCATCGAGGTCTGATCTCCTGCTCCTCCCCCCTCTTTCCTGGAGGGTACAACAGGCCGTGCACTTTCTGACCCCACTACGTCCACACTGCTGGCCGCCGCATCGCCAACTCTTCCCCCTCTCCATTCCTCATGGAGGTCGGATCTCCTCCTCCTCTCCTCCTCCTCCTCCTCCTCCTCCTCCTCCTCCTCCTCCTCCTCCTCCTCCTCCTCCTCCTCCCTTGCCCTTCTGCTCAAGACTGCAATGCCCCTTATTAATTACCCTCGGCAGCTGGCGACTCCAGGGGCGACCGCACCCCTGGAGTTGCCAGGCGCGCTGGTTTGATCACCCCCCAGGGGACGACCGCCCCCTTGGGGGAAGGCGAATGGCCGCCTTCGGAAAACTGAATGGCCGAGAGAGGGAAAGAGAGAGAGAGAGAGAGTGAGAGAAAAAAAGGAAAACAATAAAAGAAAGAGAAAGAGAAAGAGAGAGAAAGAGAGAGAGAGAAAGAGAGAGAGGGACAAAAAATCAAGTACTTCAAAATCGGAGGAGGAGGAGGAGAAGGAGGAGGAGGAGGAGGAGAAGAAGGAGGAGGAGGAGAAAGAGGACGACGAGGAGGGAGACGAGGAGGAGGACGAGGAGGAGCAGGAGGAGGAGCAGGAAGAGGAGGAGGAGGAGTGCCTCCCCGCGCGAGGGCCCAGTGCTGGATACCCAGCTCCCGCCGAGGCCAGCCGCGCCACGTGCGCCCAGCCTCCCCGGGGGCCCCCCCGCCAGCCGTAGCCGTGGGGGGCCTCCGCGTGGAGCAGGCGCACCTGAGACGAGACGAGCTGCTGCCCTGCAGCCCGGGGTGCGACGCCCTCGGCCTCGAGGCCTTCGGGCGCGGATCTGCTCGGCAAGCTCCAGGCTGCCGCCCCAGTCCTGGCGAGCCGACTAGGCAGAGTCCAGGAGGACGAAGGCGAGGCCAGGACGAGGATAGATCCGGGTGAGGACACATCGAGGATCTCTGAGATCCGGCGGCTCTGGAGGATGTCTCTGGCGCGGCGGCCTTCTCAGAGCGCTCCAGAGCGCTCTGAGAGCGCTCTGGAACGCTCTGGAACGGAGTTGTCTTCGTCCTAGCCCCGTCCGGCTAGCCGTCGCTCAGATATCCGTTCCCCGCCCCTGTTTCGGTGCCGTTCACTTCATTGTTCGCACGATGGTCCAGGATGCTCCTCGCCGAGAACACGTTGCACACGTGCGAGGGATGCCACAAGTCCCCCGAGAACGCCCTATTTGTTTTCCACACGGGGCCCGCGGGAGGCCGGGCACCTGCCCCTGCAGGGCCGGGCGCGCTGCATCGTGCGACGGTCCCGCGGGGCCCGGCGAGGGCCGCCGTATGCGGAGGACGAAGACGAGGCAAAACCTCCGCCGCGCTCTGTTCCCAGACCCCATCGAGCAAGGACAAACAAGTCACGACGGGAGGCTGGTTCACAGTGCTCGGCCTCCGTGGGGGGGTCCGTGCCGGGCCTCGGGGCCGGCCAACACGGCGCAGGACGAGAAAACGGTCCCGGGGAACAACAGGTCCAAACCTCTGGGGGTCGACGTCACGAACAAATCACGACGTCGGGGGTCTGGGTCTTCAGCGCTTCCCCCTCGCAAGCATTCAGTCGGGCGTGTCCGCCTACAGGCGAATGTTCGACGAAAAAGTAAAAATAGTAAAACATATTTTGAACAAACAACAAAAACAATGCTCAACAATCGCCCCCTGACGATTTGTTAAAAACTATTTTTGAATATTCCTCCTGCGGAGGGACAGGCCGAACTTGACGCAGGCATCAACACCCTCGGGCGCTGGCCCTGCACCTCGCGCGCGCCGTTCTCGCGCCACGGGGCCACGCGAGAGGAGGCTTCGCGGGGGCAGCTCCGCAACCCCAAATCGGGAGGGGGGCAGGCCGATGCTGCACCGTGCAGCCCTGTACAGTCAGCCTGTATAGTAAGGTTTTTTTTTTTTTTTTTTTTTTTTTATTAGGCAGCTTAGAGGACCGTTTCACGATGTTGGTTTCGCCAGTGAACCGAAAAAGCTCGACACTCAGCACTATTCGCAATCGCCTCGCTGTCACGCCCCAGAGCATTATAGTAAGGATGCGCGATAAGGATGCAAGGGCCTTGGAAAGGCCATTCTGAAGCGAGGACGCACGGATGCAAGGGTACCCTTGGGAAGGGTGCCCATCCTTACCATGGGGGTTGACTGCATCGCCCTCTTGCCTTGCTTTCAGCCAGTTGGAGGTCCGGGCACCCCGTGCTGGCAGTAGTAATCAGGGGGACGCCGGCGGCGCGCAGGAGGGAGCAATGGGGGGCGAAGGCGACGGCCGTCCATCGGAGGAGGGAAAGGTACCCGTACCACTGCCCTTCGCCCGTTTTCCCCTGTCTGGGCCTCCTGGGAGGCCGTCGTCGCCACCGCCGGATTTGCCTCGGAAGTCTGGTCAGAACGCACCCTGGGAGAGGAACATGGAGCAGCGGTATCGGTACCTTTTGGCTTCCCCAGTCCAGGATGGCAGGGGGAGCTCAGGAGAGGACGGAGGCTTCCGAAGAGACTTCTGCACATCCCCGTACCCTCTGAGGAGCCCCCCCCGTCGCCTCAGTGGTTTTTTGGACACGCCGGGGGCTTCGTTTGATATTTTGCCAGCCCCTCGTCTTGTGAGCCAACAGCGTAGCCCTGTACGTCATGTGGACACTGCAGCTGGAAAGGATTCAGAAACCGAGTTGGGTAATTAACTGGAGACAATCAGACAACATCTTGTGGGAGAAAACGACAAGGACACGCTCCGCTGGACAAGAGACCATTTCTGGCGGAGGTTATTACTGGCAACGCTTTCAAGCGGAAACGTTTTGAAAACGGTCTCAAACAACATCTGGGGGAAACCGGGAGAAGGGCACCAGCACCGCAGATGACCCTCGGACCTCTCCCGGGGCGCCTTCTCACCAACACTTCCAGGCGGATCCAGCCGTGGCGACGAGGGCCTCCCGGGAGGCCCAACACAAGGCGAAGACGACGGAAGACAGCAGCCTCGGTACCCGAGCATCGCCCTGCGCACCGCCGACTCTCTCTCTCTCTCTCTCTCTCTCTCTCTCTATATATAAATATATATACGCACGCTCCAGCGGCCCAGACGGACGCCCCCACACGTGGCGGGGAGCGTCGTCTGGCGGGCGCTCCCTGCTTCGGGCGCCGCGGCGCCTCGCCGAAGGAGGACGCGGAGGAGTACGCCGTGCTCCCGGGGAAGGTGGACGCCTCGCGGGGCGGCACGGACGTGAGGAGGAGGCCCCAGGAGCGGTGCGTAGGCCTCCCTGGCCAAGCCAGGAGGGCGTACACACCGCTCCTGGGCCCAGGATGCGCCTGGCCAGGAGCAGCGGATGTGCATAGATCTCGTCGCCCAAATTCGGACAAAGTGCCGACGCCGGTGCTGTTTCTGTTCCTGTGAGATCCTCCGTGGTCACTGTGAAGAGCTGCCGGGCGCGTCCCCGAGTAGCGGCAGCATCATGGGATCATTACGCACGGCGACAATCGTCGCCGGTCCTCGAGGAACCGCTCTTGGCGTCGAACGGCCACTCGGGAAGTCTGCCCACGCAGACTGCAGAGATTTGGTAATGCTTGCAGCACGCGCTGCCCCTGTCACAAGGGGTCCGGGAGGAATCGTCCTCTTCGTGAGCCTGGCGTCCACAAGGATCGCACATCAGATGTTCCAAATCTTTCGTGTTATGGCGGCATTGGTATATCTTGTGCGCTCTCGTCTGCCCTCTCGGGCATTTGTATGATAGCTGGATAATTTCTGGAATCAGATGTGAACTTCGCTTGCCCCAGGTGAAAAGGCGTGTGAGACATATGGCTGTCCCCTTCCCTTTCCCCCTTCCCTGGGGTCCAAAATGCAATTCTAAGGGGGGGGGGGGGGGCAGGGGGGGGGGCACGAGCTCGCCAACACAGCCCCAGGGGCCTCTGGAGACCCCCCAAAGCCCAACAGGGCCCAGACAGAGCGCCAAGACAGTCGAAGAGAACGCCGCCATGACGGCCCAGGATAGCTCCACGACGATCCAAGATGGCTTCAAGATGGCCCACAAGACAGCCCAACAGCGCTTCCAGAGGATCTCGGCAGGGCACAGCCCCAGGGACCCCCAAGACAGCCCAAGACAGCTCCTGGAGGGGGCCAAGGGGGCTCCCCCAAAAAAGCCCACGAGGGGGAATACGAACTGACGTGTCGAGCCCCTCGAGCCACCCCGACGCCCCTGAGGCCCCTCCAAGAGGGCCCAAGAGGCATCCACGAGGCCCCAAAAAGCTTCCCGGGTGCCCCCAAGAGTTCCCCAAGAGGCCCCAGGGAGGCATACCTGGAGACTCTCAGATTCATCCAGGGGGCTCCTGACCAACAGCCCAGGCACGATGGCGGGGTGGGCAGAGGTCACTAGATAACGTCCACGACCGTTGCAAGCATGTGCTGCTTATGGGGGTCATGTTGCTTGCATAACCACTGACCCGCAACATCAACCCAACATGCTCCCGCAAAGCTCCCGTGGGGGTCGGCTGAATGGCGTAAGCCTCTTCAACCATATTTAAAACTTCGCAGATCTGCTAGCCTCATGCGCTGCAAGTCTCCAACTCGAGTCCGAACTAAATGTGCACGCCAAAACGCTGCAACACGCGTTGTTGCTCTATGCTGACGTTCAGCTGCACACTCTTGCTTGACATGGTGGACACCACTACCATTGCTATCGCGGGGTGCTTCAGGTATGCACAGATTTCCAGAACCTGCGACCAACAACCTGAACCAATCATGATGTTTACATGTGTCAGTCGTACAAGCCAGCGTGCCATAACCAACAATTTGCAAGATTCAATCCACGTTCCCTTCCAAGTGAACCAAAACATTGACAGAGGTGTCGGTACTACGGCTCATTGCGACTAGCGCCAGAAAAGATGGTGCTACTATTTCTGAGCGCATCTGTGCGAACCTTTGCCTTGCGTGCAGGTGCAGCCGCGCGTCGACCTCGAAGCCGCCGACTCACCGGTCTTGGCGGTTTGTAACAGTCTTCCGCCACACAAGGTTGCCCGAAGAGCTGCAGGCTGTGCCACGTGTGGATATTGTATGCTTGGGCGGCGGTGGGGAGAAGGGGAGGGCAAGGATGACAGGGAAGGCGGCAAGGGAGGACAAAGAGACGAACGATCGGAAGAGTGAGGAAGTGGGAGTGCCGCCCACATCGTCAGGAGAGAGAGCGGGGGCACTCTCTGCGTGGGCCAGGATCTGCCCCCTCCTCCTCCCCCTCCCCCCTCCCCCTCCTCCCCCTCCTCCCCCTCCACTCCTCCCTCTCCTCCCCCTCCCCCCCTCCTCCCTCTCCTCCTCCTCCTCCTCCCTCCTCCTCCCCCTCCCCCTCTCCCCCCTCCCTCTCCCTCCTCCTCCCCCTCCTCCTCCTCCTCCTCCTCCTCCTCCCTCCTCCTCCTCCCTCGTCCTCCCTCCTCCTCCTCTCCCTCTCCTCCTCGTCCTCCACCTCCCCCTGCCCCTGCTCCTCCTCCTCCTCCTCCTCCTTCTCCTCCTCCTCCTCCTCCTCCTGTTGATCCAGTGAGGGCGGGGGGGCAATGCCGTTCCGACCCGACACGCCCCCCGCGGCGCGACCCCCGGGCTCTCCTCGGACAGCCTCGAGTCGCCGGTCGCGGGGGGCTTCTCCTGGCCGCGGGGGCGCGGCGGCAAAAGAACGCGCTGGCGCCCACATGTTTCGGGCGCAGGCTAACATGGACTACGGATCCGCGGATCTGGCGCGTGGGCGCCACGTCCACGAATCGGGGCACTTACAGTCAACCCGTATCACAAGGATGCGCAGGAAGGATGTAAGGACCTTGGACGCCCATGTCGAAGCTTTTCGGGCGGGGCGCGGCCAGCGAAAGTGGCCAGGGATGGGCCGAGGAGGCAAAGATGCAAGGGTACCCTTGGGAAGGTTGCCCATCTTTCCCATGCGGGCCGACTGCACCTCCGAAACATGGCGCCAGTGCCGCCTGATTTGACGAACGGAGCACGCCGATTTGGCATATGGAAACCGAGCCCGTTGCTGATCCACGCGCCTTGCTCCATGTCTGCGCTTCCTCGAACTTTGGACCAGCTGCACGACTGGGCATGGACCTTCTGAACTCCCCCGGGCTCTTCAGGGAGGCTTTCAGGTGCCTTCGAGCACACAGGATGTCCCAGGGTGATCGATCAAGCCTCCAGGTGAAGGAGGAGCCTCCTCATTTTCTTCATCCTCAATCCCCCTCCCTCGCGCACGTGGGGGGGGGGGCAGAACAGGAGGAGGGGGCGGGGGAGGAGTGGGAGTCAAGTTAGCCAGGTCGAGCGAGTCAAAAGGTCCAGCCTACTCCCACCCTCCCTCCCACGACATAAGAATCACTTGTGCTACAACTTGCTATTGGGATTGGAACGAGCTCCTGCCTCGGAAACGGAGGGCGCTCGCGCGCGGCCACGCTCCCGACGACTTGGTGAACGGAAAACGATGCGGGACGCGCAGGGCGGGAGCGGCAACGTCTCCGATGGGCGCGGCGAAGGCGGAGCGTGCGCCGCGCTGGCGCAGCACGGCCACTCTCACCCACGAGGCTGCGCGGCGTCTGGGCGAGGTCGGCACTCCGCCCGCCCTCGCGCGGCCCCGCTGCGGCGGTCGCTCTCCCCTGCGACTCGGCGAGCGAGCCAGGCGCCGCGCCCGCGCGAGGAGACCGCTCCCGAGCGCGCTGCGCACGGAGCTCGGGCGCGGGCGACACGCTGCCCGCTCGCGCGGGCCAAGAACGCGGGCAGGTGACACAGATGCGCCGCGCCGAGGCGGGCACGCCACTTCCGGGCGAAGTCTGCGCGGCTCTGGGCCGAGAGCGGCGTGTCCATGTGCTCGCGCGTCGACGATAGCACGTGTGCGACAAGTTTACTCCACGCCCAAGCGGGAGCTCAGCTACTTCGAAAAATGAGCGCGCGCCGAGGCGAGAGCGACACGGTGGTCTTTCGCGCGAGATGAGCGTCTCGTCCCTTTCCTGCAACGCATTCTACGCGTCAGCGACAGAAAGCCCATGTCGAGACGAAAAACATTGACGTTGTATGTTTCTTTCCTGACAGGTAGGATGGGCCCCCCTAGATGGGACCCCTATCCGCTGGCCAGGTGGCAGAGTAGGAATATATACCAATAGAGAATAAGGAAGAGGAAGAGGAAGAGGATGAGGAAGAGGAAGAGGATGAGGATGAGGATGATGATGATGATGATGATGATGATGATGATGATGATGATGATGATGCTGATGCTGATGCTGATGCTGATGATGATGATGATGATGTTGATGATGATGAGGAGGAGGATGATGAGGAGATGGAGGAGGAGGAGGATGGGGAGAGGGCGGCGGTGGAGGACGACGAGAATAAGGCGCAGGAGAAGGGGGTTAGGGTGGAGGCCAGGAGGAAGGAGGGACGGGACGAGGATGGGGAGGAGATGAGGAGAGGAGAGGGAAGAGGGGGAGGAGAAGGATGAGGATGGAGAGGAGTCTACTGGAGTCTGCAGACTAGACCTTCGGGAGAGTCGAGAAGCGAGCAACGCGGCGCACGAAACCACTCCACTCCTAGGCCGCCCCTGGGCGACAAAATTCAGTGTGGGGTGGTTTCCTCCAAGACCCCCGACAACGTATTTTTCAATCTTTTTCACAACGCGGACCCACGGAAGCCTCGACCCACTCCATGGAACCGGCCTTCCGTCCTGAGAAGTTGTTTGACAATCCCGGACCCCCTGGGGGCAGAAAGTTGCAAGAAAGTCACCGCCGTGATCTTTTTTGTCGCGACGCGAGGGGCCGCGAGGCGGCCTGGGCCAGCAGAAGCATGGGGGGGTCAGCACGACGGGGGCCGACGACGCCGAGGGCGACGACGACTCGGCCCCGCCAGGGCGCATGCTCCTGCCCCTGCGTGGGGTCGAAGCGCCGGCGGCGCCGGCGCTGGCCAGGGGCCGGCGAAGCGCCGGTGTCGCTCGCCTGGCGACGAAGGAGGGGAGCCTTCCGACCTCGCGGAGAGAGCCAAGGAGGAGCAGGGGGCACGAGGAGGAGGAGGAGGAGGAGGAGGAGGAGGAGGAGGAGGAGGAGGAGGAGGAGGAGGAGGGAGGAGGGAGGAGGAGGAGGAGGAGGAGGAGGAGGAGGAGGAGGAGGAGGGAGGAGGAGGAGATGAGGGCCAAGCGGAGACAGGGGTGCAGAAGAGGGCGGACAGGCGAGGGACGGAGGAGCCCTTCGCCGGCCCTCTTGAAGCCTCCTCCCCTTCCTCCTCCTCCCCTTCCTTCCATGTGGCTGGGGCCCAGGGAGACACACATAAATGCACCAAGGTTGAAGATCCACACTTGCTACATATTGAATGGATGCTCATCGTCATCTCCACGTCCCACATGTTCCAATGCTCATGTGCATGTACTTTTATGTGTGACTGTGCTTCCATCCCGATACGAATCATCCTCCCCATACTTGCGCAAAACGCCTTTTTCCGATTGCTCATAGCAGCACATCTCGGGCGAGGAGGAGGAGGAGGAGGAGTGACTGGGAATACCACAGAAGGAATCGAGGCTGGAGGAAGAAGCGGAGAAGGCGAGGGAGGACACAGAGGAGCAGAAGCAGAGGAAGAACTAGGTCAAAACAGAACGGAGGAAAACAGTCGTCCAAGACTAGCCCTTGCTAGCATAGCCTTCTGGAGTCACCAACGGCTATGTACCTAGTGGCGCGGCTCAGTTGGTCCAGTCGCCCACGTCCAGGGCGAGGCTGTACTGCGTCTCCTGCTCCTCCTGCATGTAGACGCGGATGCTGAGGAAGTCGGTCGGGCAGGCCGTCTCGCAGCGCTTGCAGCCGACGCAGTCCTCCACGCGGGGCGAGGAGGCCACCTGCTTGGCGGCGTTGACGGTGGCGGGCACCATCTCGAGCACGTCCACCGGGCAGGCGCGCACGCAGAGCGTGCACCCGATGCACGTGTCGTAGATCTTCACGGCGTGGGTGCGGCGGGCCACGGCGCTGCTGCTCCTCCGGGCCACGGCCAGGCTCGCGGCGGCCCCCAGCGCCACGCCGGCGGCCGCGGCGCCCGCGAGGGGGGCCGAGGCGGTGGCGGCGGAGCCGCCATCGGTCGGTGCCACGCGCGGTGCTCCGAAGGCGGCCGTGCGCGAGGCCGCCGCCTGCGTGGAGGAGGGCCCCCCGACGGGCGCGAACGCCACGGGCAGCAGCACGCGCGCGGCGAGGGCCGCGAGCCCAGCAGCGGCCAGGAGGCGCGGAGAAGCTCCGGACATCGCCGCGCAGGTGGCGCGGAGGAGCACCGAGAGCGCGAAGCCGCAGAGAGCCGACTTAAAAATCTTGAGCCACAACGGCTACGGAAGGAGCAGGAGGAGGACAGGGAGGGAGCAGAAGGAAAGACGGTACGGAGAAGAAGGGGGGAAGGAAGAGGAGTAAGGAGGTCAGGAAGGGGAGGAGGGGAGGGGAAGTGGAGGGGAGAACCGGCCAACCACACGGGCAAGGCGGGCAACCGGGTACCCAGCCACCCAACCAACCAACCAGCGAACCAACCCCAAGCAACCAACCAACCACTCCTGGTGAAAGAATGTTTGACCCGGCATCCAGCGAACCAACCAACCGACCAATCAACCAACCATTTCCAGGTAAACGGAAATCTGGCCAAACAGCCAGCGATATAACCGACCAACAAACCAACCAACCCACCCACCCGCAAACCATCGAACCAAACTCCCGGATAACTGTTGCTTGACCCGGCAGTCGGTGAGCCAAGCAGCCAACCAACCCACCAAGATAATGCCCCACACGGCGGGCCTGGGAAAAACCGGCCCGAAAGAAAATCTTGACCCTCAGATTACAAAATCGTTTGACCCTGAACGGAATGTGTATAACCATTCTCCCAACATCAAAACCACTCCTGAGCCCCACATGATCCTGATGTCCACGTCTTGACTGCACGGCCAAGATGCCCCAGAATGCAACGGGAGAAACTGGCCCTGAGACCAGGACTCTGGCCGTACCCCCATGCGACGGCCACAGGACATCCCCACATGACCCCTTCCGCAAGTGTCAATCAGAACCCCTTAGGGGCGAGCGCTGCAAGGAACATCTTCCTCCTGCTCATCCTCCAGAGCGCGAGGGCGGTTCCAGCCCCCTGGGGGGCCTGGGGAAGGAGGGAGGAAAGACAACTGAGGAGTGAAGAGCGAGGAGCAAGAAGCGAGGAGAAGGACTGGAGAGCTGGGAGGAAGGAGCAGCGCGGAGAGAGGAGAGGTAGAGGAAAGTCGACAGAGGAGGGAAAATGAAAGGAGAAGGGAGTGGGACAACAGACGAGCTGGGCGCACTCTGGCCGCATCCGGCATCCTGCTCATCCCACCACTCCCTTCGTATTTCGCTGAATTATGTGATATCCGCCCACTGGCGTGTCCCAGTAATTTCGTAGATTCCCTTCCTTGTCCTCCTGCTCCTCCTGCTCCTCCTGCTCCTCCTCCTCCTCCTCCTCCTCCTCCTCCGCTCCCCACCAGCCGCACGCGATGTAAATTCAGAGATCGCGAAGGTGCCGCCGCTCCCCAAAAGCGGAGAGACCTGGCGGGCAGTCTCTTCATCCGCCCATGCGCTCCAGCGTATGGCATGATTTGACTTGACTTGCGGTGTCCCAGGAGGACCTGGGTCACCCAAGTGACCCCTGTCGTGTGATGCGCAAGCAGAATCGGTCGCCTGCACACTGGAAGCGGAGGAGTTGGCCGATGAGCAGGAAGGTGCACGGGAGGAGCAGGAGGATGAGGAAGGATGAGCAGCAACAGCCACAGCAGCAGCAGCGGAAGGGGCAGGAGGACCAGGGCAAAGCGGAGGATGGGGAAAGGAGGCGGCAGAAACGACGAGCAAGGAATCAGATGAAGAACTGTGCCTCGCGCTGAGGCGAGAGCGCTGCTCTGATCGACGGGAGCAAGGCGCAAGTTTTCCATATGGCAACGGCTGCAGCGGGAAAAACGGTTCCCGGGGGCGAGAACTTTCCGATCGAAAACCAGTGTGATGACAGTACGCAAAATGAGCAGCGGCACCACCGCACAGCATGAGGGGAGAGGGGATAATAGTTTTCAGGATGTGAAGCTGTTGGAGGGAAGGAGGGCGAGGAGAACGGGGAGGCGACTGGATAGGGGGAGGGCGGGAGGAAGGAAGGGAGTGCGACAGAGCGAGAGAGAAAGAGAGGAAGAGAGAGAGAGAGAGAGAGAGAGATAAGGAGGGAGATAACGATATGGAGAGGGAGAAAGGGTGACAGAGAGAGGGATGGAGGAGGAAGGAGAGGGATAGATCAATAGAGATAAATACGCATACATTAAAAAAGAGAAGGAGATAGCAGAGGGAGAGAGAGAGAGAGGCCGACACATCTACACACATACATATCATACATATATATATATATGTATATATTAGCACATCGGCAGATGTATAGGGAGATAAGCAGAGAGAAAGAGAGAGAGAGAGCACACCAGAGAGGGAGAGAGAGAGAGAGGAAACATTGGATATCGAGAGAGAACATGAGAGAGAGAGAGAGAGAGACACACACACACACAAAGACACAAACAGACAGAGAGAAGAGAGAGAGAGAGAGAGAGAGAGGCACCACGCGCGCCTCGCCGTCCTCAGGCCGCGGCAGCCTCCTGCCGGGCAGGGCGTCAGATGGAACCGGCCATGGGCAGCCAGGGGTGGGGTCCACCTCCTCTCCTGCGGGGGCTCACGAGCCAGGGGGACCGAGGCCGCTGCTCCCACGAGCCCTCGCCGAGGGCGCGCCCCGACCCACAACCCGTGGCGAATCCCAGCCGTGGCGGCGGAGACCTCTCCGGGACGGGCTGCGGCACCCGCACGGGCCCGCGCCGCCCCTCGCACCTCCCCGCAGCGGCATCGGCACCTCCTCCCCGATCCGACGAGGGGGGGGGGCAGCCTCCCCCCTGGGCCCGCGCCCCCCTCGCCCGCCCCGAGGCTGCGGCGCCGGCGAAGGCCCTCGGCGGGGCCGGCGGAAGGGGACGCGGAGGGCAGCTCACGAGGAGAGCCCTCGGGGGGGGGGGGGGGGGGGACTGGGAGGGGTCCGGAGGGGGCGGCCCCCGCGCGGGGGGGGGGGGGGGGGGGGGGGGGGGGGGGGCGACCCCGCGCGGGGGGGGGGCGACCCCGCGGGGAGGAGACACCGCGCCGCGCGGGGGAGGCTCGCGGGCGGAGGGGCGGGAGAGAGGGGGAGGAGAGGAGAGCTGGGGGCCTTTGGGGGAGATCGCAACGAGCGGGCGAGCCAGAGTTCGTCGGGCCTCGCGGCCAGGAGCGCCGCGCGGGCCAGGCTCTCAGGGCGGGAGGAGCCGCGCGTATGTGGCAGGAGTGGTGGGGTAGCGTCCCGCGGACGCGGTCCCGGGGGACCCGTCTGGAAAAAAGGGCGGGCGGCAGAGGGGGTCGGGGGGAGAGGAAGAGGATGGGGGGGAGGGACGTTCCCCTGACGACCTCGCGAGCTCCTCGAGAGTGGAGGCGGGAGTTGTCGCGTGTGAGTAACAGCAATCTGGGCGTTGCCGGCAGGGTTTGCGGGCGTGGTGGCGGATTCGATGTTCCATACGCCTGCCTGTTCGAATGTGTGATGGCGTACACGGGATTCGTATTCCCCTGCCTGTTCGAGTCTGATGGTGTACGCGGGATTCGTTTCCTCTGCCTGTGCGACATATGGCGGTTTGAGTGCCAGCAGTGTTGTCCGATTCACTTCATAGTCGTGTTCGGCCACGCGCTCGTCAGGGAGGCCAGTGGCGTTGATTCAATGTGCTTTCCAACGGTTGGCAAGTCTTAGGCACACGCGGGTATCTCACACGATCGCACGGGATTCAACTCCGAAAGTCCTGAGGCAGGCTGGCTCAGGCCTGGCGTCCGAGAGGGCGCCATGAGGTGACTGGTCCCAGACTACTCCTCACCTCCCTCGTGCTCGCTCACATGCTGCGTCTCATCCGTCCAATTTTCGTCAGCACACTCGTACGTCTCCTCCTCATCCTCCTCATTCACCAGTTCCTCCTCGGCCGTCCTCACCTATCCTACCTCCTGCCGCCTACCTCATACCTACTCCCCTTCGTCGTCGTCGTCGTCCTCCTCCTCCTCCTCCTCCTCCACTCACTCCTGCTCCTCTCCCCCTCCTCCTTTTCCTCACCTCGCCCCATCCCTCCTCCCCAAACTTCCTCCTTCCCGCCTGGCGAGAAAAAAAACAACCGCGACGACGGCCACAAAAGGAGACGGCGAAGGACACGACGACGAACACGACCGCGACGGCTACGTCTGCTACCAGGACGACGGCGCCGACGAGGGCGACGACGAGCCCCTCCGAGGCCGTCCTCCGACTGCCGCTGCGGCGCGAGCTCTCGTCGAAATCGCCGGACGCCGTGCCGTCGGCGGATGGCGACTCGGACAGGCCGCCCCTGCGTGGCCGGCCGCCTCTCCTTCTTCCTCTCCCCTTGAGGACCTCCTCCTCCTCCTCCTCCTCCTCCTCGTCCTCCTCCTCGTCCTCCTCCTCCTCCTCCTCCTCCTCCTCCTCCTCGTCCTCGTCCTCCTCCTCCTCCTCCTCCTCCTCCTCCTCCTCCTCCTCCTCCTCCTCCTCCTCCTCCTCCTGGGGGGGGGGACTCGTACAGCTTCTGCCCGAGCACAGACGCCTCTGAAGAATTGCGCTCCACCGAGTCAATCGAGGCTGTCAACTGGCGCCTTCGACGCTGCTGCGCCAGTTGCTGCACTCGAGAGCCCCTGTGGCTGCTCTCATCTCGACATTCAACAGGAGGAACGCGCCAAGCGGGGAAGGGTCGGATTTTGGCATGGGCTCTGGCAAGAAACTTTGGGGTCCCGAAACGGTGCGGTGACAGACCGTGCGGTGACCTCGGAACCCCAACAGACCTCACCGCAGGGTCCGTCACCGCACGGTCTTGGGGACCTCGGAGGCCCCTGTCGCCCGAGACGCCCTCGGCGAGGGACTCGAGTCCCAAAACCGTGCGGTGACCCCGAATCCACCGACTCACCACACGGTGTGGTCACCACCCCGTCTGGGGGCCCCCGAGGAACGCACCCCCGCTCTGAGCGGCGGGCTGCCCCGGAGGAAACAAATATCTGGGAGTCGGAGGAGGCGCGCGTTGCTGTGCGCCTCGTGCCCGCGCACGCGCCGCGCGCACGCGCCGCGCGCGCGCGCGGGTCCCGGAGCGGCGGGCCCTCACGTGAACCAGGGGGGGGGGAGGAATACCTCGAGGATCGAGCATCGAGGCGCTCGCGCGTTTCTGGTCCACTTTTGTTGGCCCAACCTGGAGGCCGCAGGAGATCTCAGGGGGGAGGGTGAAGAAGGGGATGGGGAGACGGGGGAGGAGGGGGGCTTCTGGGAATTCGTTGACAGTCCACCTCCCCTCCCTTGAAAAACTTACCCCGCCCGTTCCCATGCGACTCCTTTCTCAGATTCCCTCTCGAGGGGGACGTTTTGAAACTCTGGACGCCCTGGCAAAGTTTCCACTGGTGAAATTGCCACTGGAAGCGACTGCAACGAATTGCAATGCAAGCGCGGAGCCTGGGCCACAAACCCTGCCAGGATACGCCGACGGAAGACATGATACAAGAAGGTGGCAGCGGGCGACAACGGGCGGATCCCACCTGCCAGGAATAATAGTTCGGCTCAACCTTTGGGCACGACCTGGAACAGCAACAACAAGTATAATCAATTGTGACAAACGACAATGCGACCCTGGCAACGAAGCTGAGAACACGGCTGATGAACAACAGCACCCCCCTCCCCCCTTGCAAACAAAATGCTACAAACAACACGCCCTAATAAACCAGACCCCCTCGCTACTCAAAGAGGCGATTTCAGTCCCACGGACGGTTTTCAAGGGATTACGGGCCAAGAGGTGTTGGAGTGACCCATGGAGGTTTGAAAAAGCCCCTGGAGGGTTCCAGGAAGTTTTCGGAGATTGATGGTGGGACGAGTGAAAGAGGGAGGGGGCAAGCTAGGTGCGCTCGCGCAACAACCTCCATCCAATCCCTCCATCCCATCCCTTTCAATCGCGTTGACTTTTCCCAATCCGCGGACGCGTGTCATAGCCGGCCTGTAACTCTACAACAAAACCCCATCGTGCGAGGCGCATTCGGAAATTTGGATGTGCGTACAGAGGAGGAGGAGGAGGAGGAGGAGGAGGAGGAGGAGGAGGAGGAGGAGAAGGAGGAGGAGGAGGAGGAGGAGGAGGAGGAGGGGGAGGGGGTTGCGGGGTGAGCAGGGGATGGGCACAAGGAAAACGATGAGGGTGAGGAAGGAGGAGGACGAGGACAAACAGCAGCAGCAGGAACTGGAGCGGAAGTAGCAAGGAGCAGGAGGACCAGGGGAAGGCGAAGGAGGGTAAATGGGGAACGGCAGCGATGAAAAAGGACTCGGATCCAGACAAGTGGCCCGTGCTGAGGCAAGTACGCCGTTACGACGGAAACAAAACGCCGATCCGAAAATGAGGCCCACGATGCAGCGGGAACATATCGGACTGAAAAGACTGAACAAAAACAATAAGAAGAAACAATTCCTGCCATCCTGTGCCAAACAACAATACTCGGAGAGGGCCGGCGATCGTCCGGACGGAGTCAGTGGAGAGAGGAGAATGACATTCATAATTCTGACTGCGTAGTTGCAGAAGAAGGACGTGGGGAGGAGGAGGAGGAGGAAGAAGAAGAGGAGGAGAAGAAGAAGGAGGAAGGGGGTGAAGGCGTAATCACGAATATGTTGTTTCGTTCGCCGGAGCGGGCGCCAGTCCTGACAATCGTCAGGCAGCGAGCGGCTACTGGCTGGAGCGTTCAGCGGAGTGCCGAATACACCACGTCGGCGGGCGAGAATTAGCTCGCCCGCCTCCGAGCGGTGTGGAGGGCTGGCCACGCCTTCCTCACCTTGTACGCAGCACAGAACAACTCCCTCTCTGGAGCGCGCCCCGTCATTCTAAGCTTTTTGAACTCTTCGAAATGGCCCGCCGGCACCACAAGCTCAACATCCATCTGTGGAAACCCCACGCGCCTGGCCATTAATTGAACCAGAATGATGGCTCCTGGTTTTGATTCGAAACGCTTGAGAACAACAACAAACAATAAACAAGAAGCAGCAGAAAACAAAAAACACAAGACACATACGATCGGCGCCCCAGGGGCCGCTATCCCTGGTAAGTGCCACAGGATGCGCGCCCCCGCCGCTCCCAGGCGCTCCCCAGCGCTCCCACGCGCTCCTGGAGCGTCCCCAAGCAGTCCCAGGCGCTCCGCAGGCGGTCCCAAGCGCTCCCAGGCGCCCCCAGACGCCCCCAAGCGCTCCCAAAAGCATCCAAAACGCCCAAACACTCCCAGGCAGCGCCCCAGGGGCTTCCAAGGGCTCCCAGACGCCTGCGATGTTCCCAGGCCCTTCCAAAGGCTCCAGGAGCGCCCAAGCGTTCCTCGGCGGCTCCAGGCGCTCTTCAGGCGACCCAAGGCGCTTGCAGGCCAGGAGTCTGCAGACTCAGAAGCGCTCCCAGGCGCTCCCAGACGCTCCAGCGTCGCTCAAGCGGCCCCGGGCGCGCTCAGACGCCCCCAGGCGCCTAAACACGCTCGCAGGCGCTCCTAGGCGCTCCCAGGCGCTCCAGAAGCGCTCCCAAGCGCTCACAGACGCTCCGAGACGCTCCCAGGCACCCCCAAGCGCACCCAGACGCTCCGGGAGCGCCCGAGCGCCCTCAGGCGCCCCCCAGCCGCCCCCCCAAGCGTCCCAGACGCTCCAGGACGCTCCCAGGCGCGCCCAGACGCTCCAGGAAGCTCCAGGAGGCCCCAGGGAGCCCCAGGAGGCCACAGGAAGACTCAGGAGGCCCTAGGAGGCCCTAGGAGGCCCCAGGGGAGGCTCCAGAAAGCCTCTGGGGAGCCACAGGAGCTCCAGGAAGCCGCAGAAAGCTCCCATGAAGCCCCAGTTGACGCGGCCTGACGGACCCCGAGACAGCAATTCAATCAATTTCTTGTCTTGCAGACCCCAGAGTCGCGCAGCGATACATCCACGGGGAAGTGCGACGCAGATCATCTTCTTCTCTCTTGTAAGGGGTGGCGTGGGGGTGGAGGCGAGCAGTGAGCTCACTCTCGGGCGCAGCCGAGGCAGGGTGGGGGACTGGAATACGCACACCGCGAGAGCGCACCAAACCATCCCACCCCCAACAATCCAGCTGGGGGTCGGGATGTTTGCGCGCGTTACTTTTCAACACACACACAAACTCTCTCTCTCTCTCTCTCTCTCTCACACACACTCACACACACACGCATACGTTCTATCTCTCCCTCTCTGTCTCTCTCAAGCGTTGCATGCACACATAGAAAACGGAAAACAGAAATGACAACCACACATTGGTTGAATTACCATGCTGTCTCCTCCTCTTCCACGCGGGCTCAAGAATAATTCAAAAACTCTGGATCCTGAGATGAGAAGTGTCTGAGCCAAGATCGTCGGAGGCACGTCTCCACATCGCGTGAATAGTACAAGACATCGAGACTAAGCTAGATGTCGCAAGTTCGAAAGGGAAAGAATGATACACTTTTCGCCGCCGGATCGCTGTCCCCTCCCCCCCCTGAGGGAGGAGCGGGGGGGGGCTCCCTCTTGATAAATTCGGGCCTGAGATTATCCTCTCCCCCACTCACTCCTCATCCCACTTTCCCCATCTGCCCCTCCCCCTCCCCCCACCGATGATGACGGGGATCTGTGCTCCACCGCTCCACCACGACCCCTCGAGGATGAGGAGGACGAGACCGACAGCGACGGCACCGACGATGTCGACGACTGAGACGTCGACGACTGAGACGACGACGACGACGACGACGACGACGACGGCGACGGCGACGACGATGACGACGACGACGGTGGCGACGGCCTCCGCCCGCCCACGGCCCCGCCGACGGCGAAGACGGCGACGAGGACAAGGACGAGAACAACGCCCAAGAACGCCGACGACAACGGCGGCTCGGCATGAGTGACGGGGAGTCCTGGTGGAAGGAGTTCCGAGGCCCCAAAGCCGTGTGGTGACGGACCGCATGGTCACCTCGGAATCCCTGACGACCTCACCGCGCGGTCCGTCAGCACACGGTCTCTTGGGACCCTGGAGGCCCCGGTCGCCCGAGACATCCTCGGAGGACGACCCGAGTCCCCGAACCGCTCTGTGACCCCGAACCCCCACTGACCCCCCACGCGGCGTGCCCCCGAGGCATTGTCCAGAAATGCGCGTGCCCAGGATTCGGCTACACGCAAGAGTGACCCTGGGTAAGAGTGACCTTTGGTGCGCGGCTCTTGGGGGGCCGCAGGGGGAGCAAACTCAGGCGCGCAAGACGCTACTATCGCATCGCAATCGGTGATCGGGGGACCCCATTGTGCCCGCACCGAAAGTCACTCCGGCGAAAAATCACTCTTACGTGTAGTCGAAGG